ACCATCACCATCACCACCACCCACCACCACCACCACCCACCGCCACCACCACCACTCCCACCACCACCGCCATCATCGCCACCATCAACGCCACCACCACCACCACCACCACCACGACCGCCACCACCACAACCACCACCACCATCATTTGACACACTGGGAAAAGTTATTCAGTGGAACTGTGAAAAGATGTCAAAGTTCAGGACCTCCTTAGGCCACAACCTCCAAAAACCATGTGTGTAGGCGGCACCAACGGACGTCAAGTAGTCCATTGATCTCGTGGGACATTACGTCCACCAAAGTGCGATGGGCGAGCAGTAGGCTAGCAATACCCATCACTGGATAGTGCGGAGCCTCGGTAACGGCAACCCAAAACGAAACCTCCATGGTAAATTCAATCAGAGCGTAAACAAAAAGTAATAGGTCAAAAGGTAAAAGAAACCTAGTTTGAAACGAAGTGAAATCACTAAAACCGTGACAGAACGATGCAGTTAAGACTGACAAGAACAGCAGTGTAAGTGTGAACAAAACCACCCTTAGCCATCGACCGGATGTGCGCGGAAAAAGGTGTGAGGAAAACAAACAAAACATACAAAACACGTAACATATTTGATGCCGTCTCATTGGATGCGAGCACGCATGCAGGTTTGAATGACCTAAAGACTGCGGAGCAAAGAATGCTGGCCTGTACTCTGAACTGACCACGTATATCTATTTATAGTGAGGATTTTGCGCCCTGAGGAAAGCCGGGGGAAAATAACTTTTGTTCTATTTTACATTCCTTTTCCTCGAACCCTTTTCCGCGCTGAGGCCTGTTATTTTGGCAGGTGGGTGAGATGAAAGTGCCGCGGTGTTTACTGACAAAAAAATGTTTTTTCATTTGTGCATTGCTTGGTTGCTGCTTGGCAGGATTGGTTGCTGAAATTGCGCAGGAGGAGACCGCGGTCGTTGTCGTGGCATTCGACTGTTAAATCTATGTTGGGGTCCAAAACACCAAGGTTAAAGACCTCCGTTGCCGGCTAGGCTGTCCTCAAAGCGCACAACGGTTCAATCGTGTGGCTACAGAACTCCGGCTGGGGCGTTGCACGAAGTCGGATTTGAAATTGGTCAATTGAGCATCAGGTGCTTCGGTCCACAGTGGTGTAGTATTCAATGAAGGCAGTGGTGCTCGGGTCAGAGAAGGGGAACTGTGTGAAGAAGGGTCAGGAAGGCTATGTTTTCCATCGCTCAAGTGACTCCGTTGCAGTGGGGTGTGACCCGTGTGTGTGTGTGCGGGGCTGAGGTTCAGTTTGAGAGACCTTGGTTAGTGGGTCGTTCCTGAGTAGGTTCCTGCGCACCAATCATGTTCCTCACCGGAACGTGGTTGCGAACCGACAAGGTTGGGGCTCATGACACGAACTTTGGCAACCAAGTCAACGGCAGGTTGCTTGGTCGCCCCCATCCTGCCCGGAAAGGGGGTTGCGAGGGAAACAAAAGACATGAAAAGAGGACAAGGCAAGACAAAAGTGTGTGGTTGCCGATGAAAAACCAAGTGACCAGGGACAACCGATGAACCAAACCTCCTTGTAACGAACCTGGGGCGCCGAACTAAGGGCCAGCGGCCAGACCCAAGTGCACGCAAAAGAACAAAAAATCGAACATGACAGGACATGAAGACAGAAAGGACATGAAAGAAAAAGAGGAAACTGTGTGTGCGTGGGGGCCGGTGAAAGGGAAAGACACCAAATGAACGGGAACAAACCGAAGAGCCGAAGAGCAGCCGAACCTCATTGAAGGACCTGTTGTAAACGCCTGGTTTGTTGCGCGTCAGAGCTAGGGACGACGTAGTTTCGGCTAAATTTTCCCGAAGGAACTGCTGCTCTTTTTAGCTAACTTCCGTCGAGACGGCTGCGCTCGAAGCGTTCTCTATAACGGCTTTCAAGAACCGCGAGTTTGTGCATGGTGGCAGCTCACATCACCCCAGTGGGCAATTTGGGTTCGATGAACTTTCAAATGGGGTACATCCTGGCTACATCGGGGAGGGCCCCTCTTTAGAGCCACCCGTGGGTGCCCGACGGTGTTGCCAGAGTTTGGGGTGCACCCTATTCACACTGGGACGAGTTATTGGGTGGAACGCAAGAAATCAACTTGATGAACCTGCAGCAGCCTGAACAACTGGAGTGGCAGTTTGAGAAGTTCAAAGGTTGAAAACATTGATTCAAACGCAGGTACGCAGTGGAGCGTCCCCCAATGTATCAGCACCAGCTGATACCCTCTTCGTTGGACGGGCGGTGTCAGCGGTGACCCGTTTTGCAACTGGCAAACTCTCCTGCTATCCTGCAACTAGCAAACCATTCGCGTGCAACAGCGGTTTACACACACACACACACACACCACCAGCACCGCCACCATCACCGCCACCATGTCCACCACCATGCTGCCACCACCTTCACCACCATCATCACCATCACCGCCGTCGCCACCCATCGCCGCCATCACCACCACCATCATCACCACTATCAACATCATCATCATCATCATCATCTTCATCTTCACCTTCATCTTCATCAGCATCAGCATCAGCATCATCGTCATCGTCATCATCATCATCATCATCATCATCATCATCATGACCACCACCACCGCCGCCACCGCCACCGCGACCACCACCACGACCACGACCACGACCACGACCACTACCACCACCACCACCACCACCTCCATCTCCACCATCACCACCACCATTACAGCCACTTTCAAAACACCATCACCACCAACATCATCACCACCATGAACATCATCATCGCCACCGTCACCTTCACCATCACCACCACCACCACCACCACCACCTGCACCACAATCATCACGATCACCACGGCCGCGACCATCACCACCATCACCCCCACCGTCACCACCACCACCACCACCATCATCACCATCACCACGGTCACCACGGCCACCACCACCACCATCACCAACACCATCACCTCCAAACCTTTTGCTTCTACACCCCTGGACCTATTACCTCTAGGCACACTGTTTGGGTCTCTTGCCGGGATGATGTATTTGTGTGTTTGTTTGTTGGTTATTTCTTTGTTTACTTATATATTTGTTTTGGCCTTGGTGGTGCGAACGCCTTTTCGGATGTTGGAGTGGCAACATGTTCCGTCCATGTGGGTTGCCGATGGTTTAGCCCCCCAATGAACGTGGAGAGCAACAAGGCAACGCAAAACCGGCGTGTTCAATCCTCAGAAACCATGACTCGACAGTCATGCGGTCACGCGACCACATGGCAATAGAAACCGCAATTGATGACTGGAGCGCGACAGTACAGCCGATGGAGGAAAGGTTTAATAACATTGGCGCCCAAAACAGAATGAGTCTAGACTAATATAGAAGCAATTGCGCATGGCATGTGGTTGTTCAGCCGGGGTTTGCAGCAGGGTGGCTTTTATGGCCAAGTGATTGGCAAATGCCTAGCTTTGCCCGGCCCAAACTCAGCCAAAGCTGCTGAGATACATGAGCCTGTAGAGCCTGTAGGGCCCAAAGTCATGAGATAACTCTAGCCATCGTAATGGTGCTGGATTTTCACATGAACGCACGGTGTTTGTGTCCCACTGCGCCTTAGACATGCGTCAACTTCAAACAATTCTGGTGTTGATGACCCTGGTGAACCCCTCCTTCCGCGCCCTCGAGCAACTACCTTCCGCAACCACCTTCGCAGGGCTTTGCCGCGCGGCGGCGGAGGTGGAGATCCAGAAGGCCCCCGAGAAGGCGGAGATGTTTGTGACCACGTCGCACTTGTACAAGAGACATTTGGCCAAGTATTTTTGTGAGGGGAGTGCATCGTCATCACCTCGTGCAGATTCCCTGATAGCTCTTGAACTTGGAGTGTACCATGGCCACACCACAGCTGTTTTGGCAGCGATCTTCAAGAAAATCATTTCGGTGGACATCGAGAAGGAATACTTAGAGATTGCGGCCAAGCACTGTGATGGGCACGCGAATGTGGTTTTTCTTCACATGGACTTGATGGCCGATGATTGGGGCCTCTTCGCCAGCAACCGTGTGAATGTAGCGATCATTGACGCCAATCACCACTACGAACATGTGAGGGCCGATGCACAGAATGCCCTGCGCCACCTGCCGCAGCTGCAGTACCTGGTCTTCGATGATTACAATGAAGATGGGGTGGCCCTGGCAGTAGATGAGCTGGAACATGCAGATGTTTTAGTGGAGTGCGAGGCGATAGGACATGGTTGGGATGGATCTTTGTGGGAATTCTGGGACTGGGACCCTGCCAGTGGTCAACAGTTCAGGAGGTGGACCAATCGATCAGAAGGGAAAATCTGCAAGCGCGGCCCTGGAGCTGAAGGGACACACCTTCGTCCAAGCTTTGCAGATCGACGCTTCTTCCTTTATCGGCAGCCTTTGACGCACTTGTGTCAGGCTGGCGTGGTGCGTTTCCTTCCGAACGGGACCTTGTTGACATCTGCCTGGGACAGTGGGAGATGGACCGTGGATTCAAGACCTGGGAGGGATGTGTTGATGGTACATCTGCCTGGCATGTTGATGGAGCCTATGGAACTCTTCTTCAATTTCGGCCGAACGGCTTTCTATTTGTCTCGAAGAGGCAGTTTAGAGGCGGATTGGTTTGGCATTGGTGACCATTTGGTCCATCGCCCTTTTCAATTTGCGAGTAATTTGTTCTGATATCAGCTTTCAGCTGAACAGATTGTGTGCTGAGGCCGCATGACGTAAGTCGCACACCTGAATTTGGTCAGGTCTCACAATTACCAACCTTCATGGTCCATTTGCCAACAGGCTTGTGGAGGAGTCACATGGAACAGTCCATCAATTTCATGACCGCCTGTCAGCTTGTTTGACCAACATTCCAAGGTCCGTCCGCCCCGCCTTGCAGTCCAAACTGCCCTTCACCGCTGCCAGCGTCTTTTGGGCTCGCCTGACCCCCGCTGAAGCCGTGTGAGCGAGCTGGCCGCGAACCCAGCCTGGCGGTCCGGATGGCGTCGCCCACGGTGACCTCTGCCATGCCCGCGGTGCCCGAGTGGGCGCACCCCACGCCGTCGCCCTCGCTGATGGTCCGGAGGCTCAGAGCGACCAGCTTAGAGAGAGAGCCGAGCTTCAGGAGAAATTCGTCTACAGATGCCTACCATATCTAGAACCATTTGTAGCCGCGGCCTGTTGCAATAACTCTTGGCCTAGTCTAAGTAGCTCGGTCCGGAATGACAGCGTGTTTGGAAAGGGTTGAGGCTGAATTTGAAGGCATCGTAGCACCAAAGATACATTCAGCCAAATTTGGCTACACACAAGGTTGCAAGAACCACACGCACTTCAAACTGCAACACAGTCCTACTATCATTGCCTCCCCCCTCCCGCTCCCTTTTGATGCCCGGTTGAGGTTCGCATGCCGGACCCGAAGGCTTGGCAAGCGCCGAACTTCGGTTCCATGCGCCGAGCTCGGCGGGTGGAGATGAACGGAACGAACCACCCGAGGCTTCGGTGCCCGCCTTCGCGGCTTCGGACGAAGGGAACGGAACGAACCACCGAGGCTGAATGGCAAAGCCATGGCACCGGACCCACAGGCGGAGAACATCCGAGCGCTCTTGTCGCAGGCGGGGCCCGAAGAACTCGGCACGGCCCACGCGACGAGGCCGAAGTGACAGGATGAGATGCCAAGATGATGCACAGATTTGGATGCCAATGCTTTGGTTTCGCCAGTCAGGTTTGCATAGCACCCCAGTATTGACCTGGTGCAGAAGATAGTTCAAGTGTTTGGTTGAAATTAATTCCACTCCGGTGCATGTACGGTCTGGCAGCCCTCTACACACCGGTGAAGTAGGCAGCATTTCATGACACCGAGAGAGGGGTCTTCGATCGTGGCGACCAGGTCTGTGCGCCATTTGTCCAGGGTATGCTGCACCTCGGCACTTGGAACCATGTGAGTTCGGTTGCCAATGAATTTGATGAAGTTGCAGTGTGCACAGCAAGAGATTCTTGCAAAGGTCCTCAGGTCAGTTCTCATGGAGTTTTGTCTGGCTGGTTCCAAATAAGGGAGGCCATCAGAGCTGTCCATTGAATCAGTTTTCCGACTTTAAAGCTATGGCATATGGGAGCCCCGCGCAGCTGGGAGCGACCTGGAGTCTGACCCCTTCGGAGACCAAAAGCACTTGCGCCCGATGGTCCGCCCGATGGTCGTCCGCCCGATGGTGTCTCGGCGCGGTCGGTGCCGAGAGACGACCGGAACCGTTCAACGAACCGGAACGCGCTCAGGAATGCGGTGCCTTTGCTGCAAAACAGCCGCCGGAGCGCGGAGCGGGTCGCGTGTGTGCGTAGCGAGCTGTGGCGCGAACCGCGCAGGTGGAGCAGCTCGTGGAGAAAGAGGTCGAACGACAGGTGAAACAGCTTCGCCAGCAGGACGGTGGTTTGAGAGTCTCCAGTCAATGTCTGGGTGAGCTGTGTTTTTTACCAAAAAGATGGAACGCAGGAAGGCAGACCCGTTTGTTTTGCCAAGTTGTCTCCTGAGGAGGTTTGAGGACCCTGTGGTGGTGTCATTGTTATTTCTTTTTTGGTTCAACCACCCAACATCTCCATGATTAAGCGGCTCCCGTTGGCTGAAACCCATGAAATCCCATGAGCACCTGGAGGATCAAATCCCAGCCATGCCACCGTGGGCGCCCCGGCGCCTGAGCCGGGAACAGCAGCACAGCTACGGCGATGCCATGGCCTTCGGAGCCTCGGTTCGCCGGGATCCGTGTTCGCGCGCGGGGAGGAGGGTGTTTTGGGGTCACAAACACGACGGCACCCACGGACACCTCACAGGGAGTTTAGGGCGGTTTGATGTGCTGAGGAAAAGTCTTCGACGCGCATGCTGCTCCAGGTGCTTGGAGAAAGCGGAAAAGAAAGCGGTGAACAATGTGTCAACGTGCTTGATATGAGCAGATGATTCAACAATACATGAAGCAGAATTCCTGTTTGGCACGTATGGATGGGACTCTCCTTTCCGTAGGTGAGGATTCCATGAAGCTTGGGAATGTCTCTGCGGTTCCATTGCCTGAGGAGTCGTCTGAGGCTGGTGATGTGTGACGTGGCGTAAACACCAAGCTAATAATTGATTAGTCCAAACATCCTCAAAAAGTTAGAGCATTTAAAATTTGGAGCCTAGAAGATTCAAATTGGCCGTTGCCAACAGATTGAGAAAAGAAGAACAATCCTTCTTGAACCCCACAGACAGCAGCTGTCCTTGAGCGTTTTCGAGGATGAGGCTGAAGCAGAAGGCGACCAGCGAGGAGCCAGCGGGCAGAGGGAAGCTGTGAGGCCAGTAGGATTGAAGGACAATTGACACGACATCTCCTAATCTCCTACACCTCCACCACAGCAAACACTAGTAAAGCCACAAATGGCTAGCGGTGCCTTGATCATTTGGCAGTGGGATAGTCATTCCACCTTTGATGTTGGTTTTATGATTTCTATTGATTTCCTTCCTTTTTTCCATCCTCACAGTGTCGATCACTCCTGACTCTGTCTTCGGAGGACGCTTTCAGGCGCTCTTCGGCGGGAAAGTGCCCACATCGTGTTCCAGGCGCTCGTGGGGCATCGGGAACGGATGGATGTTGGCGGAAGATCGTCGTCGCACCACACTCCAAGATGGACTTCTAAATCGATCCCTTGCCAGGGCTATGGTGGGCTGAGGGCGAACGGCGAACCATTTTTCTGCTCCAAGTCCCTGAAAAACCTCGTGAGCCGTTTTTTCGCCAGAAGAACCCGAAACCAAAGCAGGTCCTCCTCGCGCTCCAAGTCCGAGTCCTCAGAGGAACCAAATCCCTCAGGCGCCGGGTGGGCCGCGCGGTGCGACGTGGGTCCGCGCGGTGCGTCCAGCGTGCGTCCAGCGCGCGTCCAGCATGTCCCGCGCGGTGGCCGTGCGGATGAGGCTTTGGTGGGCAGGCGGAAACGGACAAGGACCCCCTCTACCTGCAATGGTCCCAAGGCGCGACTGGGGAAGGGTGGATGAGAAGACGAAGCCAGCCAAAGCGCCGGATTTTCAGAGTGAGTGGGGACCGATACTTTGGGGGTCCACATAGTTGGCTGCAATACTACAATACTTTTCTAGCTATTTGGGGGCCGTTAGTCGGCTGTTGGTGCCGTTCTGCCCTTGTTGGTGCCGTGACTTAGCACTTATAGCTCCAATTCTTTGGCGATGGTGGGCTCCAGCAGCAACACGCCGTTTTCGCCAGCCCTGCCAAACCGCCCAGGAACACCGGTGTGCACGACTACATGCATAGAAACATCAAAACTTCAAAACATCGATCCATTACTGTAATGGATAGACTCTTGTCCATTTTGATGAATCACCCTCCCAGACACGGATGGTCAAACTTCATCATCCAGGCAAACGGTTTCTTTTGCATGATACTTATTTTACATATATTAATTCATTAAAGGAGTCTACATAACTATATAACCTTCCAGAGACCTTTCAAGGGGTCGCAGTAAACCGTCGTCTCGTCGTCTCGTCTCGGCCGAGGCCAAGCCATGGGAGATCGACCCGCGCTGACCCCCACGGTGTCCCCGGTGGCGCCGCACCTGGCCCCGGGGGGCGCCATGGGCCGCTGGGGCCGAAGGGCGGAAGGATGGAAGGACGAGTGCAATTTTCTGAGCCTACTGCGGTCCTGAGGGTCCTGAGTGCAGGAGGGTTTTGTAGCTTGGTCGTTTTCGCTGCCTGAGGGACTTCTGCCTTTTTGGCAACATCACTCACCTATTTTCCTGACCTTTTCCATTCAGCTTCAGGAGACCCTGAGCGACCTTAGCAATTCTACAGGGTGACAGTGCCCACAAACCAAGGAGCTTGGCCATGGACAGTGCCCACAGGCCAACTAGAAGTCAAGGGGCTCCATGGTCTGTTATCCACACACCTTATTGGGTGTTCAACTCCCTGCCCGTGCCCGTTGTTTCTTCGGCAGAGTTGCCCTCATCGACGGCTCAGGACTTAATGTACCAGCAGAGAGCTTCTTGGAAGCACTCCGGCGAGCTGTCATTTGGTACCTGAAGACTTGAGCCATTGATTCGGGTTTATCATTGATCCTTCCTTCCTTCCTTCCTTCCATCCTTCCATCCTTCCATCCTTCCATCCTTCCATCCTTCC